AACAAAATGCCCTTTAAGGGGACGACGAGTTAAATCAAATACGTGGAATTGATCTCACACAATGGAATCCTACCAGACACAGAAAGAATGAGGGGGCTCTACATGGACTGATATGCATCCACCCCCAAAATGAGGGGGAAAGGCATAAAACAGTGACTATATTATGTCATGGCGAGAGACAAATATATAAGTGAAAATATACTTAGAGTATTTCTGGAAGGGTACATAAGCTGGTAACCATGGTTGCTTGTGAGAGGCAAACGGCACGCAGAGCTGGCAAGGATGTTACCTTCGCTGTCTGTGTTCTCTGCCATGGGCGTGGATTACCTATTATCGTCAATTTCCACAAATAGCTAGGCATAAAGATGTTCACTGTGGTGTTGCATACACCAGACAAAATAAGACCTCACGAGGATGACCTAGTAGTGGGCTATTTCTACAGCTATTACTATCGCAATGATATAATTATTTTTAACCCTAACCAAATTGTACTCATGTTAAATAACTCCTAGTCTTGAGTCCCAGAAAAAGAACACCAATTACTTCCCAGGACATTTAAGCAACTCTCAGGTGTACTTACAGGACAAAAACCAGCAATCTTTGCGAATTCGTGGAGAACAGAAGAAATAGCAGAAGACTGGAGCCAGACAAACCTCCCAAATGTCATTTACAGAAAAGGCTGGGGGTTTAGAACATTTACCTGACATTGAGTTTTGGCAAAAGTCTAGGGATTATTCAAGGAAGTGGTGAGTATAAGGAACCAACAAGGATTCACTTAGAACAATGCAGGAAAAGCTAAGCAAATGTTGAGAGAGCTTTCAAGTCAGCTGCCTTGTTTCTTTTTATTTTTTTATAAAGATTTATTTATGCTTACAAGAGCTGGGATGCAGGCCAGAGTTGTGTGTGGGGGCATGAGAGGATTTACCAGAGATAGAGTGGGGAGCAGAACAAGCAGATCTACTAAAATACACTGCTGAGGGGAGCAGCGGGCAAGTCAGGAGACGTCCGCTGCACCACGTGGGTAGCTCCCTGGCCAGGGATCGAACTTGTGCTGCAGTGGCTATGGACAGCTTCACGGTGCTAAGACTTAACCCCTTGCGCCACCAGGGAGCCCCCCCCCCTTGTTTCTTTTTAACCCAGTAAGTCAAATCTCAGAAGGACCAGAGCACCCAGGCTGAACAGGCAACACCAGCGAGGGAGGAGGAACAGAACTGAGCGACCCACTGGGCTGCCTTCTAAGTGACTATCCAGGAATTCATTAGATTCTTCTCTTCAGGAAGGCACTGACAATACCTTTCAACATGGCTGGAGATAAAAGGCAGGGTGACGACTTTCATCAGGCTCAAAACACCCGCTCTGTTCCAACCACTTGCACGCGCATGCGTGCGTGCGTGCGTGCGTGTGTGTGTGTGTGTGTTCTGATCCCAGATAATGCTCAATGTTAAGACTGCCCTGACTACTCAACATCCCTAATCAAAGGAAACAATATACGTGAAACCCTTTGTAAACTTTAAGGAGCTGTCGGAAAGAAAGGTGATGATGGTGATGATTATGATTTTGCAGGCGCTGCCAATTCTGGAACAGACGAAAAATACCAAGGACCCAGACAAAACAAAAACCAACATAGAAAAAAGGAAGACCCTAGCAGGAGGAGACAGCAATGACAGAGCTCCTACAAGGCCCTGCTATCGGCGATCCAACAACCACAAACTATTCAGGTGAAACCTAAACTGTGGGCTGGGAAGCCCTGACTTAGCCTGACCAGGGGGAGCCTCAGCAGCCGTGCTGGCCCCTGCAGGTCTCGTGCCTCAGTGGGAGCTCTGTTCCTGGAAGCATGGCGCCCACCATTCAGCCTCTCCTCCATGAGGACACTCGGGCCTGGGAGTTCTGGGGGCCCCCACACATGCCAGCAGGCAAACTGTGCCAAGTAGATGATTGCAGCAGCCTGCGACCTCCGCCTGAGAAGGGCCTCAGGCACCCTCAGACACCTGACTTTGTGTCAGACAGGAAGAGACTCCAAGGAGGGAGCCACACAAATCAGCATGAGACAGCCAGAGTTACGGTCTCCCCCAAACCTGCCTCCCTGTTGGGGGGGTTGCCTAGTTCATGGGCCTCCCTGCCCAGTCCCGTAAGAGAACTCATGTCAGGTGTATCATTCAGGAGGGGAGAAACACTGGTCGGTCCTAAGATCCCTGTTAACTACAAAATCCCCTAGGATTCTTGGCCCTCCCTGGTGGCCTAGGGGTTAAGTCTCAGCGCTATCATTGCTGCGGGCTGAGTTCAATCCCCGGCCAGGGAGGTGTCCCACATGGCGCAGCAGACCTCTCCTGACTCGCCCACCACTCCCCTCAGCAGTGTGTTTCAGTAGATCTGCCAGTTCTGCTCCCCACTCTGTCTCTGGTGAATCCTCTCACCCGTACCTCTGTCCTAATCCCCAGTTCTTCTACACAAAAATAAGTAAATAAAGTCTTTAAAAAAAAATACCCAAAAACCTGGGATTCTGGCTTGGCAGTTTCACCTAGGAGCGGGGAGCATAGTCTATAAAACAGGCCACACAATATGGTGCATGTAATACATATATATGTCAATAGTACATTTACCTCCTAGTTTACACAGCTAATACATTTACACTATGCATTTGATAAAACATTTATGCGATAGTATATACACACATCCTATGTGCATGTGTGATTTGTATTTATGTGTCTGTATGTTATGGGACACACGATAAGCTCTGGCCATTCTTCCATGGCCCCCTCCACAGCACCCACCCACCCACATGCACCACAGAATAAAGACATGGTAGGAGGCCTTATTTGCCAGCTCTTGGGAGGAGTGAGGAAGAGGGCAACTTCTCCGACCCTGAACTTACATCCACTGACACAGGAGAAACCTTTCCCTCCTGCTTCTACTTGGGGACCAGCTGCCAGGCACCTGACCCCGAGAATCCAGCCCAACATAGTACACATTCCATATTTGAACATCTGAAACGGTTTCCCAAGTACACGGCCAGCAGAGGGGGGAGCCTGTCTGGTGCGAGCCAGAATGTGCTTCTAAAGCTCTTGAAAGCATTTGTTTATGGACAAGAACACCGTGGAAGGACAGTCCTTTATTTAGATCTTATTTGTGCGTGAAAATCAATATGTCCTTGCCAGTCTTTACCTTACAAGAAAATGTGGTTCTAACTGTTGTCCTGAAGTCTCCACCGCCCAGCCTGGCCTTGTCAGCTGCAAGTGTGACACAGCGAGTACCCCAGAAAGGTGCCTCGGTGACTCTGTCTCGAGTGCTAACTGAGAAAAACTGCCCAGCCCTCCACAACGCCCCCCAGCACATCTTTGGCTATTTCAGCTCTTCCTCCATTCAAGGCACAGCGTGAGCCGGGGATGCAGTTCTGGGGCTCCATCCTGAGGATAAGGCCACCCTAGCGCACCTCCTAGCTTTCAGACCACCTCCCCTCCGACCCCAGCTCAGACCAAGTACCCTCCACAGACGTTAGCTTTGGTCTATATTCTCCCTCCCCTGTTTCAAAAAGGGGCCAAAAGGATTTGGGAGTGTGGCCAAATCCTCACTCTTACAGATGGACCAGGGGAATTAGAATAATCATTGCACTCAATTTTTTCCATGCGGGTAAACAAAAAACCAATATTGCCCTCCATCGATGAGAAACCGTCATAGGAAGGCACACCTTTGGAAAGACAGGCTGGCAGGGAGTGGGGGCATCTAGGTGAGCCAGGCTGGAAGGATCTTCCCCAGGAACAGCTGATCCAGTCGGTCCCCCAGGAGCCACCCGGCCAGGTTGGTACAAGATTAAAACAATGGTTATGATGATGTAAGAGTTTCATCTTACACACCCAGGGGCTGCACTGTTTACTAACACACAAGGGGGTGCACATGCATCCTGGTTATTATAAACTGTCACATTTCAGTCTCTCATTTAAACAAAGCATTTCATCTGCCCAGACGTGGAGGAAGAGGCTACATTGACTTTGCAGTGCAAATTGGTTATTTAAAAGACAGAAGGGGCAATGGATGCAGATGGCTTGACACTCTGGCACACACTCTCTCCAATGTGTTAAGACATCCAGAACATTATAGAGATGGCTCAGGCATTGGTTTCTCTAACGCTGCCCACATCCCCTCTTTATCCTGGCCATACAACATTGCTCAGTGCTCACAAAACACACCTGCTCCATCTCACGCAACAACACCTCTGCTGAGGGCACACACCTGGCTGCAGCCAGTGTCACCGTCAGATAGTACGGCCCAGGGTCTCAGAGTCTCAGACAAATGCAGCTGCTACATAAGAGTAGAGGTAGTCCTGGCACACCAGACACATTCTTAGCCGCCGTCCTATACTCATGTGATGTTTACTAAAAAGTCCTGAGGAAACATTCGAGGGCGCACTGAGGTGGCAAAGTCTAGAGTCTTTGGAAAGGACCGAGCTTGGGGAGGGGGGAGGGAGATTTCAAAAGCTCTTTGCTTCTCTGGTTTCAACTCTGGTTCTTTTCATGTGTTTCCAAACCAAGCCCAGGATGGCTGAGGGCCGCCAGGAAGAAGGTCTGGGAATAGCACACCATCCTCACCACAGACAGAGGCAGGCCAGTCCTCCAGGCCTGGCTGGTGACAGGTCAGCGGCCTGCCCTCCTGTGGCCATCCTGGCCTGGGAGAGGGTGACCGTTTGAAGGGTGAGGGAAGGAAACTCTTGGTTTTGTTTTCGTTGGGGGAGGGGGGGCACCCTTTCCATCTTTGCTCTGGGACAGGAGTTCGAAGGCAAACTAGGAAAGGCGACAGTGCCCCCTAAGAGTTGGGAGCGTGTCCCCCGCAGAGGCCGCAAGAAGCCCTCGCCTCACACCCAAGTAAAATGCCTCTGGCCCTACCGAGGACAGTGAGGAGGACAGTGCGCCTCTGCCCGTGCCCACGGGCTGGCATCCCCTTGGGGCCAGAGGGAGGCGGGGGACCGCCGCGGCGCGCCAGGGCTCCGGACAAGGGCGCGGGCTTACCTTGGTGACCACGTTTTGGACGAGGCCTGAGCGGATGCCGTAGTCCCACGCGTGGCAGTCGCAGTTGGAGGCGTTGTCCCCCTGGTCCGGCGGGGACGGCAGGGGTGGCGTGTCGCCCCCGGACGCATCGCTGCTGTTGCTCAGGTTGCCCGCGCCCCCCCAGGCGGCAGTGGAGAAGGGGGTGGGCGGGGGGCTGGTCCAGTTGGCCAAGTCGCCGGCGCCCCACCGGCCGGTGGCGGTGACCCCCGCCAGCTCGGAGCCTTTGCCGGCCCCGCGGCACCAGAAGTTGGGCTGGTCCAAGAGGAAGGAGTCCGAGAACTGGCTGAAGCCGATGAACAGCGCGGGGATCCAGGTGAGCAGCACGAGGGTCTTCTGGTAGCCCCCGCCGAGGCCCCCCAGGAAGGGCAGCACCGACCCGTCGTAGTCCAGCAACAGATGGCTCGGGGCGGCGGCGCAGCAGCTCGGGTGCGGGCCGCCGCCGGCGGGGTGCGCGGCGGGCAGCGGCTGGATCTCCCCGCCGGGGCCCGCGCGGCCGCCGAGGGGCGCCGAGGCCGCCGCGTCCCCGGGCGGCAGGGCGCCGTTCTCCTCGGCCGGGGGCGCCTGCCGCCCGGGCCCGCCGCCCGCCGCGTCGCGCCGCCGGTCTATCGCCATGGCCCGGGCCCGCGGCGCCCGCAGAGGCGCATAGAGCGCGGCAGAGCCTGCCGCGGGCGCCCCGGGCAGAGCGCGCCGGGCCGGGCGCCCGCCGCCGCCGAGGAGGGCCCGCGGCTGGAGAGAGCGCGCTCGGCCGCCCGGGAGCGTCAGTCCGCCTCCATGGCCGCGACCCCGGCCCGCGCCCCGGGCGCTGCGGCCCCGCTCGGGCGCCGGGAGGAGGCGCGCACAGGCCGGCCCGGGCCCTCAGCCGCCGCCGCTCATCGGCTCCGCGGCCCGGGCGCCGGCGGCCGACCCGCCGCTCGCTCTCCGCTGCTCCGCGCCGGCCGCGGGAGGGGAGCGGGCCGGGCGCCGCGCGGGGCGCGCCGGCTCGGGCCCGGGGACGGCGGTGCGGGCGGCGGCCGCGGCTCCCCGCGCGCCCGGGATGTAGTTCGCCGACCTCGGGCGCCTCCGGAAGCCGCGAGCTCGGTGCCTGCTGCCCCGCCGGCCGCGCTCTCCGCTCGCGAGCCGGCCGCGCGCCACCTCCTCCGCGCCCGCCCTGCCCCCGGCCCGCCCCCTCGCCCCCCCGCCGAGGTGGAGGTAACCGCGGCACCTGCTGCGCCCGCTCCTGCGCGCGAGCGCCCCCTCCAGCCCGGCCGCGCCGCCGCGCCGCGGGCCCGCGGGAGGGGGCGGGGAGACCGGCACCCCGGGCCCGCCGGGCGCGAGGAGCCCCGCGCGCGCCCCCCGGGCCGGGCGGGAGAGGGGGCGGCGCGCCGCGGCGCGGGCGGGCGGGGGGCGCGGGGGAGTCGGCGGGCGCGGGGAGCCGGCGAAGCGGAGCCCCCGCCGGACGCGTCTCCCGCGCCCGCGTGGGGCCCCCGAGCCACCCCGCGCGCGCGGGGGTCGGTGGCCTCTGCTCATTTCAGAGGCGCGGCCACCCCGCCGCCCGCACCCACTTCGGGTCGCGACCCCCTGGGTCGCCAGCACCGGGATCAGCCCTCTAGAGGCGCTTTTCGCAGGTGCGGCGACGGTGGAGGTTTTCGGTGTCCGCCGGCCGGGTCAAGAAGGCGCCTTTGCCAATTTTAGGTCGCCGGCCACCCGCGGCCGACCGCAGCTCCCGCTCTCAAATCGCCATTTCTTTCCCCACGCCAAAGTGAACGCTCGAGTCCGAGTCTACAAGGTTCTATTGCCAACCCAAGTTATCTGGGCACAAAGGTAAATGGGAGGGTGTTCCCCACCCCCTCCCCAGATCTGGAATGCACGTTCCGAATGCCGAGTGCACAGGCGCGCACACTCGCGCGCACGGAGACAGCCCTCGCCCGGCTCCAGCGCCAACCTGGCCCAGCCCGCGCTGTATAAATAACTCCAGCCCTGCGGCAAACGGCTGCATTAGCATGTTTCCTCCTGCGCCCTGGGCCCCGCACCCCTTGGGACTGGCCCGGCACCTTTCGCCCCAGCGTCCGCGCACGTTGAAAATGTTTCCTATTCTGAGAAGTTGATTAAGGGAAGACGCAGACAAAGCGCTCCTTCGCCCGTATTGTTTGGGGAGAACGGGAGAAAGAAATGCTTTTGCTTTTCCGAAGAATCCAATCCAAGCTGCAGGCACTCCGGGTGTTTTTCTGCGTCTCTATCAGTTACTTACAGTTTGAACCTGCGCTTCATTCTGTCATGGGCTCACCATGTGCAATACCGGCCTGCGCGAGAGAATTCTATCTGAGGGCTGCGGGAGGGCTGGGCCTGGGGGGTGGGGAGGGCGTGCGCCTGAGAGGGGGAGATTAGATAACCAGTAGCTCCAGAGGCTGCAGGGCTGATGAAGACTCCAGTGGCTCCAACATAGGGGTCCAGAGACCAGCGCGTATTTCAAGAGTTTCTGGAGATGATTGTGCATGTTGCGCATGTGGTAATGATCTCCCCCCCCCAACACCCACACTGCATGTTATTTATCAGCTTGACTTTTTCTGGCCTTTCCCTCTCCCCAGGGGAAGAGAGAGTAAGTGAGCAGTGCTTACATGCCCACCTGGAACAGAGGATGCGCTCAAGACATGTTAGCGGTTTGTTATCAACACGACTGCTACTCCTGCTGTGTGCAAAGTAAACATGTCTATTTCTGAATTGAAAATATAACTTGGCAGATTTTATTTATTTTCCCTCATGACCGACTTTTCTAGAAAGGTCTGCTCTGTGTGTCACTCTTTTGCCAACAACCACCAGTATCCCTTTGTTTTCTTTCTTTTTTTTTTAAGATTTATTTATACGTATAAGAACTGGGGTACAGGCCAGAGGTGGGGGGCTTGAGAGGATTCACCAGAGACAGAGTGGGAAACAGAACAGGTGGATTGACTGAAATACACTGCTAAGGGGAGCAGTGGGCAAGACAGGAAAGGTCTGCTGTGCCATGTGGGTAGCTCCCTGGCCAGGAATCGAGATTGTACTGCAGTGGCTGCGGACAGCTCCACAGGCTGCATCTTAACCCCTTGTGTTACCCTTTGTTTTTTTATAGCTCAGCCCCAGACAAGCCCCTTCCATCATTGTTGTAAATAATACTGACTTTCAACACATACTCATCCAGTCCTTATGGGACCGCAAGAGGTGGGTCTTCAAGATGTGGCTGGGAGGATTAGGGGACTATCCCATCCAAGGGCCCACTCAGGCAGGGCCAGACAGCTGGCTCTGCATCCACACTTTCTGACTTGCCACCCCAGGCATCTCCATTTCACCATGCAGGGGTCCATTGCAGTACAACTGGAAAGAGTTTTAAAAGACATTTATTCATGTACATTTTTAGGAGAGGAATTTCACTGTCAGGCTGTATTTTTAGTCCTTGTCCCAAAAGGTGGTAACAATCCTCAAATGGAACATTTCCCTAATTTGGAGATGTACTAGAAAATGGTACCCTCTAAAACTCAGGCTAAGCACCATCAGTCTAAGATGTTTGGAATTAGCCATCTGCAACTCTGACTTGGGCATTGTAACTAAGTTTCTTTTATAGCTACAAGTTTCCCCTGTAGCCCTCTTGGGTCCATATGCCCCCAAAATCTAGTCAAGAGGATTAAAATGTAACTATTTAAAATAAACTGGCCTTCAATTCATTAAAACAGACCACAGGTGACCTCACAGAGGGACCTAGAATAAAAGGAGTAATAAGAGGAAGCATCTGACAGTCTGGTGGTCTCCAGGTATGTATTTAAGTTCACGGGCAGGTAGAAGGCAGCTGATTAGGCACCTGCTATCTCATTCCCCTCCTTGATGTTTCTGCTTGGGAGTTATCACTAAGTGCTAACTTTCTTGTTTGTTTGTTTGTTTGTTTGTTTGTTTATTTATTACCTCTCCCCTGCAGACCTCATTCTCAGCTGTATTTCAGGTGCCTAAACAGTGCCTGGCACATGCATGCCAGATACATATTTGTTGAATGAATGAAGATATCAAGTTATCATCACTTGATGCTCCATCTATTAGACTCTTACAATTCTATTTACTTTGATTCTCAAGTCACTAAGACACCTTTTCATGTTTGTTCAATCTCTCAAATAGAGTACTCAGATCAGCCAACAGGAGGATCCAAATGAACTTGGCAATTATACATTTTTTTATTCTAAGTTACTGTGGTTAGTGGATTAGCTCCCAGTATGAAGTTCTTGTGGGCAGTTATTGGCCTGCAGATAGTTGGCCTGCAGGTCAAATGTAGCTCACAGGCCACACACAACGTTTTCAGGAAAATAATTGCCACCATTGGAAAATCGGGAGATTGAACATTAAAAGCCAAAAATCACAACAGGAACCCGGGTCCTTTTGATGCCCTTTGTCTGCTGGGCTGTGCCTCCCTGGAAGATATGTATCCCTCGTGCATGTCATTTGTCTGCCCTCCCAAAGTGTCTACGTTTGTGACTCTACATTCTGAATCCATTTATCTCCACAAAGAAGCTGAATCATTATCTCTTCTCTTGAAAACATGTTAAATAACCTACCAGCTTGTCATTTCCAAAAACTAAGAAAAAAACAACCTAATCATCAATACACTTAAACAATTTTATTTCCAGGAAAATAACTGCAAAAATATTTTGAGATTACTTCTAACGCTGGTAGAAATCGAATGTTGAATCCTCCATAATTCTATAAAAGTTAGTTGCAAGGAACGGCTACTGTCGGGCTTGATTAACTTAAAATGTGCAATACAAGTCACAGCTAATGGATTTCATATTAGTTTTCCTGCATGTTCATATTTGTTATTTATACTTGAAATCTAGACAGATGTTACATTTGGGGGTATTGGGTGTTGTTTTTTTCTTACTGCGGTTTGATTTTTTTCCTTTCAAATAATGATTCAAAAAGTAGGTTATCTTGATTTTTGGAGGATGGGAGAAAGAGATGTGAAATTACTTCCCACTGTGTATACTTGAACATTATTTATATCATCCGCTGACTTTTGAATGTTAACTCCAATTCTAGAACAAGGAGTTTGACATTTACAAAACCTATCACAGACGAAGATGAAAAAGTTACTTTTGTTCAGTGGCAGAAGTAATAAAAATGTCACATCATCTAGCATAAGGAAAGCCACAGGTATTATCTTAAGAAAAACTACTCATTAAGCCAGAGTCATCCCTTCAGATTGAGAGCAAGTGAAGATAGAAAAGAGAAGATAAGATTTCTTAACAAAGAGCTATTCAAATGTAAATGTGATGGATAGGGCCCATTTACTTGTAAGAGCTTGGTCAAAATTTAATCTTGAACTCTTTTATTGAGTTAAAAAACAATTCGTATAACAAATTGATCTAAAATTTGATGTTGGCTATTGTTTGCTAAAAATCACAGTTGTCACATTTGCCTTATTGTGCTTCGGAATGTTCTTTGTCACACACACACACACACACACACACACACACACACACACACACGGGTGGGGGACTGGGGGGAAGGACAGAATGCTGCCAGAACTCAGAAGTGAACATTATGTTTCATTTCAGTATGGAAATAGCCTCTTTTGCTTGACAAGAATCATCCCCCAATTTGCAAATGAACCTCAAGGAGACTTTGGGGCTTTCAGCAATGGGTGAGCCATCTGAATGTAATTACTGTGGGGGCACCACAGGGCTTAGGAACAGGAACCTTCATTTCCTACAAAAGATACACTAATGCCCTCAGAATAGAACACTTTCCACCTCTTTCCTTGCTCAGTGGAGAAGGAAAATCCACAGCTGTGTGGTCTGCGTGTTCTCTGAGCCACACCTGACATGCCGGAATGGATTTCCTTCAATGCGTAGAAGCTGGAAGAGGCAGAGTGAAGAACACCCCTCAGTGGGTTCTTCAGTGTCCATGTCAGGTGGAGAGCAGGTAACCCTGACTGGAGGCAATGAGAATGGCCTTTGACCTCTGTGACCTCCCAACCCCATAACTCCAGACTAACCCCAGAATATAGTTCTTGATGCAAGATGCTTTGACTAAAGACTTTTTAGAGGACCTTTTTGTCTAATAAGGCATGTCTGAGTGTATG